CCCCGGTCCCCCTGCCGCTGCGCACCCATCCCCAAGCACTCTTCGCACCCACCACATCTGCCCCCTCCCCTCACCCTCAATCCGCCTGCGTCGCTTTTCCGATGGACTGGAAGGTGTGACTACGATGGAAAAAATGTACAGGGGAAACAAATAAATGGGGACAAATAAACGCCTCCCTCAGATCGATGGCCCCGTTTTCCCCCCAATTAGAAGAACTCTATTAAACGCTATTATTCACACACGGACGGCGAATAGTTTACTCCGTGCTAAGCCCAGATAAAGGAGGCATTTGTTTTTCCTCATCTTTGACCAGTAGTTCTAAACCTTTTTAGAGGTACAGAACCCAACAAGTTAATATGCACATCCACCGAACCCTTCACGAGTGAAAAATAAATATGGATATTTTTTACAAATTCAAGATATTAAAAAAAAACAAAAAAAACCGCATTTATTAAAAACAGAAAAAAGTCAATAAAATTTCAATGAGTATACTTTTTTTTTTTTTAAATTAAACGACATACTATCACGACAGTCACACGTTGACTACGAAGCTAACTAAATTTCCCACAGCACTGATTGGACAAGCAATGTCATGTGATCATCTGCAGCCAGTGATGGCCAAGCAGGCGTGTCATAACTAATTGACACGTTGAGTCGGGTGTGTCATACCCTCCATGGCAGAGGCTCCGTCGAACCCCTGAGACCGACTCACCCAACCGCTGGTGTTCGATCGAACCCAGGTTAAGAACCACTGTCTTAGACTCTATCGATCACACACCGACGTGACTGTCGAACACCGAAAAAAGGAAGCATCTACTTGCGGGAGGCGTCATGCTAGGTGCTGCTGTTTTGATTAGCAACACAGTTGAAAAGGGCTCCGTGTTTGAAAACTAGGACTTGCTAATTCCTGATGTGGTGGAAGGGAAGCGTCAACGGGTAACTAATTGGGGCGCGGCATCTACAGTTTTCATCATCATTTTAGCTACTTTGTTAAACCACCCCCCACCTTTTTTTTTTTTTTCCCCGCACGCCAGCCTTTTATCCTGTTTATCAAGTGCCTTTAATCTACAACGCTCCAGCGCGACTCCCCAATAGAGTTCATTATTGATCCCTGACAATTTCTTCCCATGAAGCCGTTGGCGCGCCTTCCGCCTGGTCTTTCTCAGCTTAAGCCGCATCAAGCGTATTTTTAGCACCAAAAGGCCCTCGCTATTTATTCTTGCGAGCCCTTTTATCTTTGCTCGCATTTCCATACGTGTGATTCGACGGCGGCGGCGCTAGATGATGACAGCTGGAGAAATGCATTTGAACGTGCTGACGTCTCAGACGCTCAACGTTTCTTATTGTCTCTTTTTTTTTTTTTTTTTTTTGAATAGATCCGCTGGCTCCCACCTGCAGATGGAACTCCTCAGGGATGGAAGTCGAGGCAGTTCTGCTGAAGTATGTGTGAGTACCACGCGTTTGTGCACATGTGGATGAAAGAAAGCGGCGTCGGGCCGGCACGGGCAAGTCATTTTAGAATCGATTATCGTGTCTATGACTCCATTGAATACTCGTGACTGCATGCTGCTTTTTTGGCTAGCAATGGAATGCTAGTATTAAATGAAATTTCATCCGTTGTTCGTGTGGAAAATTAAAACCACAAATCCCTTCCTGCGTGCCGTATCCATGTCAGTTGACAGTCATGTGCATGTGTGTATTTTATCAATGTTTTTATTTTATTTTATTTTTTTGCGCAAGGCACCAGTCGTGCTGTCACCAGAACCGTCCTACCGTGAAAGACAGGTAGAAACATATTGTCAAGACCCCCTTTGGGGGGGGAAGTTAGTGAATGCGTGGGTCGCGGCTAGCACAGAGGCTAACAGTGACTGAGCCCAGCTGAACCCCACGAATTTGGAACATTCACACTTCAACTTAACCCGGATGGGTTAGCGACGTTAGCATCACCGCTAATTATTCAATTGTGTCTCCAAATAACAGTAGCCATGTATGACTTGGCTTGCTGTTAAGAAACATCATATACCAAGCATCACTTGGTATAGGAATTAAAAAAAAAAACATTTGCAATAAGCATTAAAAAAAAGCATTTTAACCATAACATGATAAGCTGTCCACTGGAGTGACCGCTGTCCCTGAAAGAGTTCATTAAATAAAATGAATAATTCAAAAACAAATAAAAGCGATCAATAGAGTCCTTGTTAATCCCCCGCGATCAAAGTCGATGAAATGACTCGAGTGAAGTGGCCACCATGGAGCCGTGTGACAGGAACAGGACCGACCCCCACGGTGCGCCGCTGTTTGCCAAGCCGAATTGTATTTGACGTGCGTGCCTCAGCGGCACGCGGGTGCCTTCAAAGACGACCTCATAGCGGACATTAATGCCTAGTCAACTGAAGGGAAAGGTAATCCGTATTTTCCGTTTGACAAAACATGACGGTGGGAGCAGGCGCGGGGCGGGGGTGAGGGGGGCATCTTGTCGAGTAGAGCGATACTCGTATACTGGATGTCGTCTGACCACTG